TTTGTTCCCATTTGACATCCCGAGGGACCGTACAAGACCCCTTCATCTTGAATCCAGTTGAAAAGAGATTAAAAACCCTAAAAAATTCTTTCATTTATAAATTAGTAAACAAACCCTAAAATAAAAAAAATTCAAACAAAAACGTGCCCAAAAATTACCATAGAACATTATGTTGTCTTCTGGTTTACGAAGTCATCGTTCAACCATTCTGGTATCCCTTCATTTATAAATAAAAACAAGATGAACACATTCTTATTTTTTATTCAAAGAATAAAAAACACAAACCCTGATCCTTTCTACCCCATCTGATTTTTACTTAAGAACCCACAGAGACAAAGAAACCCTTCGTTTTCAATATTAAACCCCAAAAATCGAAAGAGAAAAAAAACCTTTGTTTTTCATAGAGAATGAATTCTGATTTCTTTTGGTTTTGTTTAAGTGAATCAAATAACATTTAACTACCTTAACTGTTAATTTTTTTCAAAGTTAATTAAATTGACTTAATTAACTTAATCTAGTAGGTTATGCGACGTTTAGAATTAATAATAACATTCAAAATTCTGGAAAATGCCACATGTATACAATAGATGGTTGCCTGACGTGTTTTTTTTTTTAATTTTTTAATTGCACACATTCATTAATGGGTTAATGGAGGTTAACGTCCAAGGGACCATTATCTATTAAATCAATAAAATACGGACCAAACGCACTTAATTAAAAAAAATCATTGACCAAAGTTGGTCAGACTGAAAGCAAAGGGGTTTATTGGCTTAGTTTACCCGTGACATATATATACAATAAATTTTTCGTAAATATTTTAATAATATATATTAATTATTCCGGGTTGAAATGGGTCGGATTAGATATTTTTTACCTTAAACCCTACTCTGACCCAAACCCGATTATATTTCTCTCAAAACCCGACCCGATTCAATTCGAATCTAATTTTCAAAGAAAAAAATCGACCCTATTAAATCAGGTCGAGTCAAAACCCATCGGGTACATATTATTTGCTCATCCCTAATTGAAGCTCATCATTAGGTCGCATGATGAAGAAAAGAAAATACTCTAAAACAGAAAATATGTTTTTTTTTACTGAAATATCATCTAAGTAAAAGTTAATTTTAAGATAATACTAATTTTAAATTAATATTTATTATGTCACGTAAAGTAATGGTGTATTAGATCAGATGTGCTACAGAAAGTATGTTCATCTCTATCTATGTGAATTTTGTATAAAAAAGCATGCTTGAGCATGAGCCGATTTAAACAAGGAGACAACATGTGTATAAGTCTTGTATTCAATCACTTAATAAATATAAGTTCAATAGATTATATTTAAATGATTGAAAAAAATTATATTTAAACATTATGAGATTTGAAAATCTCATGACCAAACATATTGATTTTAAGTTGTCAAATATAGATCTTGAACTTATTAGACTTATGTTATAAATTCTATAATATTTTCTAGTTTGACTCATGCTCGTATAAATAGTGTATTTTGACATGTACCATGTTTATAAAAAAAATTCATATAAAAAAACTCTGACCATCTTTTTGCCATGTAATAAAAGATGCTAGTTTTTAAACCCTACATGATTTCTATGGTTACGGGGATTATTAAGGTATTATCTAACATCATTTTTAACATTTTCTATCATCAAATCGTCAATAGAATCCTTGAAACATGTTTAATACTTAAAAATACCCAACATAAATTATATCATAAGCAAAACAACAATTTTTTTATAAAAAAAACAAGAAACATTAAAGAGTAATAGGTGTACTACCTCACTAGAATTAACAAAGGAACTTTCTTGCTGAGCATGTACCATTTTTTCCTCCCTACTTTGCATTATCCACGAGTGATGTTGGGCTCATTGTGAAGCTCTTAAGATGGTGATTTAAGATCTTACTCTCTTCAACTAATATTAGTAGTTGATCTCACAAAAATGGGCTTTTTCAAGTTTAGGGTTATACTTCTATGGAAGATATGAGAGGGAGAAGGAAGAAAAAAGATAAAACCTTGTGGGAAAAGATTCTGAGATCACTCTCCACTCTAATGACCCTATATTCTACGTGAACAACCTAGACATGAGAAATCTGTCATTATTTTACCTAATGATGTAATTACATTTTTAATATCTCACCATTTATCATAATTTCAAAGGGTCCTTAATATGATCAATTCAGCCTATCTCTCATCTGATTAGACCCAAATTCTTTTCAACGACTTTTCTCACGTATTTTAATTTATTAATCTATGGCTCGGGTCAACACTCAAATGTTGACTTCGATATTTGAGGTCATTACACCTTTGCATGTTAGTAATTCATTCTCCACTTGTTTAATTGGTAAAAGATGTTGGCGAGCCACCTAGAGCAAGGGAGAAGTAGAGGCTTGGTGTGTCCTGAGCAAGTAGCTTCATTTCAAGATTCAAGCAGCAAGATATTACACCTCCAACTTTGAAGTACTGGTTGAACTTCAGAAATGTGATATTATATTGGTTGTATATACATGTCAAGTGTTTCAGGTACTTGAGCATGTTTTTTATTCAAATTCTCGTGTTTGTTGTTAAACGTGTTATAATAATGACAGATGATCCTATGTAACCCCATAAGCCTTAGGAATTAATTTAGGCTCCAATTAGTGTGTTTGGGAAGATTTTCGAATGATTCTAGAGTATTTTTTACGAGTTTAGGCTTTGAAGAACAATATCGATACCATTTGAATAGGTAAAGGATAAAGCATAAATGATCTGAAGTGTTGATAATAATCTTGGAAGTATCGATATTACTAAAAGATTATCAATACCAAAAAAATTTAAAACTTTTTTTTATATCAATACTGACCAAGGGTATCGATACCATATAATTGAGTATCGATACCCTTAACATGGTATCGATATTCCATGCTTTCAAAAATTAAAATTGATTTTGAAAATGTTCATAAGATCGAGCTAGATTCATGTAACCGTCGAAGCAACTTAATTTTCATCACCATTAACTCCCTATGAGCAGTGGTAGATCCATTGACGGCTGAGGGTGGACATTATGAACAATGGCAGATTCATTGAGGGTTGAGGGTGAAAACGTGTCTGTCCTGAAATTTAAATTTTCTTCGGTTAATTACCTATTTTATTGATGGTGCTCACCTTAAAATTTTATTTGTACCCACCCTAAAACCAAAATTGTCTTTAGTTAGATAGTGCCTACCTTGAATTTTTATTTGTACCAATCTATTTAAAAATTGTGTTGTTAATATATATATATATATATATATATATATGCACCTTAAATAATATTTATAGATTTGTAACTGTTAAAATAAACTTTCATGAAATTTACAATAATAGAAGTACTAGAAATAGACAAAGAAAAATAAATGGAAGAAAAAAAATGTTTCAACAAGAAACACTAAATCTCGAAGAAGAGAGAGTAGCCACAACCAAAGGTTTAACAAAATACCATATCCACATCCCTAGGTCATCCTAATTTATTTAAACCAATATATCTACAATATAACTAAAATAAAACCCTACCAAGTGATTCAACATTATCTTCAAGTGGTCCTCATTGGCATGGTTTTCCTAGCCACATACGATTGTCGGTTCATAAATGTGTTCTTAAGCTTAACTCAAATAGATGGAATTTAGATTTTATGCTATTTGCAATTTAAGAGCGAAATTAAAATTTTAATAGAGAGTAGAAATTTAGGGATAAAATTAAAAGTAAAGAAAACATTGAGAATTAATTCTACTATAATCCCTTAATTAAATGGAGAATATTCCAAAGGAATTCTACGCATCAATTTCCGACTTATCCAACGTGTCCGTGTCAGTTTGAAGAAAAAAATGATCAAACTCGTTAACGAAAAAAGATTTCATCTTAAAAATAATAAAATAATGGATAAAATATACAAATGGTCTCCAACTATATAGGGTGATATTTTGTTGAATCACTCGACTATTACAAAATCGATCCTTCAACTTTAAAGTGTTGTCTGATTGAATTCACCGACTGTTAAAAGTTACAAAAAGTCACATAACTATTTAGTATGTCACAATCTCGTTCTTTTAAGAAATTAAAAGCAATTTGAGCTAGTTATTAATCTGATCATTGAAATCTAATCCCATAATCTAAAAAAAACAATTATATCTTAGTCAACAGGTTAACATCCAGCTCAGAATAATATCAATTTTTTAACTGAAAAAGAATTTGAAACATACTAAATAAATGGATGATCATTTTATAACTTTTAATAGTTAGAGATTCGATAAAGTAACATCCTATAATCGAAGAATCATTTAATAACTTTTAATAGTTGATGGACTTAACAAAACATTACCCTATAGTCGACTGACTATTTATGTAGTTTACCCTAAAATAATTATATTTCACTAGAAAATTGAGTATAATTCACGAATCAAAGAAATATGCAACTCTTTACAAAAATACATTTCAGAATATTAAAAATTATATTTTTGAAGGAGTGCAATTTGTATTTAAGTTAAATACAAGTACTATTTAAAAAAAGAGTTAAATACAAGTACACTATTTTTTTTTAAAAAAAAAAGGTTAGTGTAAATATTCTTTCACCACGCTAATATTCTCTTGTTGTCTACCTATTGATTAACTTATTTAAGTAAAAGACTTCCCATAAATGATCATAATATGTTGATACGGGAAAACCAAAAGTAAATAGAAATTCAAACATTACATTTATTTATAAGAAAATAATTGCATTACATAAACACTAAAAGTATATATAAGGATCCTTATAATTTATCTTGTAGCATGTGAAAAATAAAAAGAAAATACCCTTAAAATAAATTGAATGATTTCTACTTAAAGTATTTATTATTTATAATCTTTCTAATGATATAAATGCTGATCTTGTTTTCGAAGAATACAGCTAAGTTTGTAAAAGTCTTTGAATACTCTGCGCATGAGTTCCAGAGTCATTCAATATTTGGTTCATGTCTTCTGTAAGGCTACGGCAGTATATAATAGGTGCAAACATGTGCTTATCAATTGCTTGAATCTGATGAGCAACTTCGGCAAAGTCCGTCAGCGTTTCAACAGGTACGACTCGGGGAACCATTTTGACAACAGGTAATGCTTCGTATTTACGATCAAAGCAAAGATGCCATAGCACGGTATATGCATGATTGCCAGCAAACCATACCTGCCAGAAAACAAGCTTAACATAATCAGATACCTGCATCATACATTTTTTTAAAACAATTTGTACCTAAAACAATAAATCAACAATTGGTTAGCAGATTATCCCAATGGATTAATGTTATTTGACAACATATGAGGGATTCGAAAGCTCATTTGGAAAGATTACTTTCAATAGAAGGATAAGTACCATAATGGAGCATTCGGTGACGACAAATCAAGAAAAGGATATGGCCACCTGTAACACAGAATTATCTCAGTTCTTGAATAAGGGAGTTTTGTGCATTATTTTGAACGATAATCATAAAACCGATATTACCATATCGAGACACAAGCATGAAGGATCCAGTGGAAAATGACAAAAGCACCCGTCCACAAGATGAAGTATGAAATTCGAAACCAAGGGAACCGCTGAAAGGTAGTTGATAGATATATAAAATTCAAGATTATTATGTTGAAAAGAGAAGCGTTATCTATAAAACAAGATTAAAAAAACAATGTATATTTACCAAGCTATTCAGGGTTGTATCACCGAGAAGTAGTATGGCATTGAGTGTATGCAAGTTCACAGTCATCTGAAATATAGAGATGCAGGTTAAGGTTCTGTCTTAACGAAGGCAAAAAGATAAATTAAAATGGAATAAGAAATGGAAATATATCGAAAACAAGGTCAAGTTGAAATATCAACCGACAGTTTTGGTAGAAAGTATTATTAGAAACTCAGAATGACTGGACTTCAACTGCTGATAGGAAGTTGAGAAATGGATATGAAAGCATCCCCTAAATGTATGTTTCTCAGGCTTGGTTATAAGTGCCAGACACTGGTATGCTCAACGTTTTCTAAGATTTTCATGTATTTACTGGGTCTTTGGAGGATCATAAATGGGGACACCCATGTGTTTGAACAAATATATATGTATGTATATACGGCACGTTCAGATAAGAAAATGAAGAGCCAGAGCAGCATAGTATGATTCTATGAACTTGAACCACATGATGTGATGATTATTTCTATCATTTGGATATGATTGAATTCCTATTATACCAAACATTTTCAGACAGGCAGGATCACAAAACATTAGCCTGATGAACAAAGGGATAGAGAACTCACGAAATTCAATGTATAATCTTCAATGGTAAGAAATGGGAAAATAAGGCACCAATATATGAGGTCAGTAAGCATAACAGCACCAGCATTCATCTGCATATGACAAATCAAAATGAGATATAACATAAAAAGTTCAAGGAATACAAAAAAGCCCCATGAAAAACTCAAAGGAACTGCAGAACTATCAAAAATGATTTTGAGTAAAAATACTAGCACTATTTTTTTCACCAGAATGTTTAGAATAATCTTGCATCGTTGACTTGAATGGAAAAAGAGAATTTACCTGGAATATAACCTGAAAGAGATAACTACTAATGCCTGCAGCTTGTGAAACATTGCATCTTTCCTGCAGATTTAAGGCTTTCCTCAGTACATTTTTATCTTTTCTGTTAGTTAAAGGAGTGTAGTATCCTAGCTCAGCATCTATCTCAACATGCTGTACGTTAAAGCCGCAGCTGCTCATCTTATAATGCTGGTAACACCCGTAAATAGAGAGAAACATTCCGATCTGCAAGAAGAGGGGGAAATTGTACATACTGCAAGCCAGCATATGGATACAAGGCAACAATTTTATCATGGAGATATAAATATTGCAACAAAGACTAGGAATAAGAAAACTATAAGACATACCCCAAAGTAGATGGTAACCAATGTAAAAGTCCACCTATCCAGCACCAAAAGAGATCGTGACTTGGAATGTTTCAGAATATATCATTCTGACTTAGCTAAAATGCTTAAAATATAAGGCAAAATACCCTATAATTTCGGTTTCGGATGATCAGATGATCTGAGTGAACAGTACATTGTATTTAAGCTCATTCTATTTAAGAGTTAAAGTATCATGATTCCTATATAAAGATGGAAGTACTTTAAGTAAGAATTACTAGTATACAAGGCAAGTTCAAAGAAGAGAGATTGCTTACTGAGTATAATAGTAAAAGATGTGAGCTCCACTAGCTATGGTTTTTGAAACAATCGTAGCAAGAGCTAAACAAAACGCAATGACCCGATAACCCAACAGCCAAAAAGGATGGATTTCTTGAAGACAAGGCTTCCAAACATCATCATCATACAACTCATCACAACTTAAACCTTCCTGGCTTTCTTTTCCATCATGTTTAACTTGTTTCAATCCTTCGTATTTGCAAATTATGATCAATGATACAGCAACTGGTGTAAAAACAATAACTGAACATATCAAAACCCTCCAAGTCAACCAATAACTCGAGCTTGTTGTATCTGAAGTAGTCAACAGCTCCATCCTGCTAAAAGCAAATAACCCCATAATAAAGTTTTGTATTTTATACTGTTATTCCCATCATTTATTTTCCTTAAAGTATAAATAATTGCAAATAAACCCAAATACATGATAAACTAAGCAATTAATGAAACCCAAATAATTGTAAAAACTCAGGATTTTGATAGTACTAACAGCAAGAAAACAATACAGAATGCAAAAACAAGCCAATTGTATAAATACCCAAATTATCGTCAAGAATTATAAAGAATTACTAGAAATAAATAAAGTAAACAAAAACTCTACTAGATATTCCACAAAGTGAAAAGAAAACCCAAAATTTAACCGTTCATTGCCACTGCCTCTGATTCCCATACACCAAATTAGAAGAAAAGAAAAAGATTACTTACATAACATGCGATGAAACAAAATGGTTCCTTTGAGACAGGAAAGAAATGAGAAACAGAGGGGGGTTGAGCTTTGATCTGGGTATCAGGAAAAATGGAAAATTTAGAAAGTTCATAATAACTTTGTTTTGGGAATGGAGCCGCACGAATTAGGAGGTGGCGGCTTATGCTTTCTTCACGTACGTCACTACCATGATAACGTGGGCTTGTCATTGTGTAGATATATTTAATTCTTGCTTCCTCTAGATTAATTCAGACGCTTCGTATTATCTGATTTTTTTATAAGTGAGTATTTCAGTAGTAAGAATTTTTTACATATATATAAATATTCGAATTCGAGATATAAAGATTCGATTTCGAGATATTACTTAATTGATATCAAACTGTTTATTACTTGAACCAATCTCTATTAACTGTATATGATTGTATTCTAATTATTGAATTAATTTTTTTTCAACTAATTTATTAAAAATTTGATTTAATTTTAATTAAATTGTTTATAATTAAATTTTAACAAAATTGATGATATGACTCACTTTTAACTAAGATAATAATATATTTAATTATTATTTTTACATTCTATCAATTTAATTTAAATTTTAATTATAAATGATTTATTTAATAAAATGGTATTATGTTTCATAATATTATTGATAAAAAATTAAAAGAAATATGAATGGAGTTTAGAGAGTTAGTAAAAAATAAATTAAGTTTGAAGAAATTTAAATTTAATTGCAACAAATTAAATATTTATTTCATGGATGACAAAAATTATATCTAACTTAAACTTGATGCAACATTTTACAAGAAAATATGAATTGGGTTTGTAGGGATAAAAATTAATACATAGAATCTAGATTAACACTTAACCATTTTGTCTAAATAGTTATTATATAGTTGACAAAAAATATATATTTAAGTTAAATTATATTTTATGTATCTGAAGTGATTTTGGTAAAAATATGCGTCTAACGTTTTTTTTGTCTTCATTTCAGTGTGGATATGTTAATTCCACTCAAAATGTATTGTCCAATAAATACATGACACATGTTTTATTTTTCATTTATCTTTATTTATTTTATCCACCTTTGTTTCTTCCTTTAATTTTCTTGACAACAAAACATAAAAGGACTAAAAATTTTAATGAATCATTTTTAGTTATTCTAGTTTTCCTTTCAAAGTCTCACCTTAGGGAGTGACCTAATGTTGTCGTTTCTTCATTCAAAAGAATAATAATAATGTTGTCGTTTCTCTTTCTTTTAAATTAATTTTTTATTTAGATCTTAATAAATATATTTGCATTTTTATTTTTGTCTTATAGCATATTCTTGAAACATTTATTTTTTCTACTTTTATGACACAGTTATTCGACTGCTTTTATACCATTATTTTTTCTATTGTTGTGATAGTTTGACATTTCATGTTGTGTTCATCTTGATGTACCTCATGATAATGAAAGATCAACAGTCGACAGTCTCATATAGTTAGATCCCCTTTAATTACAATTTATCAATGCATTCAAAATCATTCACAAAATAATTTGTTAGATTGATTCCCTCAATCTCCACACCTACATTAATAGTGCGTCTAATTTTGCATAAAAATAAAGAGATTATAGTTGTTAATATTTTTGGAAGATGAAGCATATATTCAAGAGTAAGTTTTGGTTTTATTTTTCTTCACGCCCTTTCAATTTTAATGTTGGAGTTACGTTGCCATTGTTGTACATTACCTTTTTGTTTAATGAAAACCTAGTTTCTTGTTTAAAAAACAATAATAATATGCAAATTGTAATTTAAAAAAGACTTAATGCAAAAATAAGTGGCCAAACTATATTAGAAGTTAATTTTAGGTGCCTAAAGAATTTTTCGTTAAAAATAAGTTTCTAATGTTCTCTCCGTTACACTTTTAGGTGTTTAACGTTTTCTCTGTTATACTTTTAGATGCATACACAGTCACGACTGTTAAAAAAACTGTTAAGCGACACATATTATGTTTTTATTTTAGCTTAATACAAAAATAAGTGTCCAAACTATACCCTAAGTTAACTTTAGTGTCTAAAGAATTTTTCACTAGGAATAGGTGCCTAACATTTTCGACGTTACACTTTTAGGTGCTTAAACTATAACGACCGTTAAATTCGATCGCTATCTAATACATATCACGTTTATATATTTTTAAAAATCTTTATTTTTTAAAAAAATTAAAATATTATTTTTAAAAAATTTGAGAAATTTTTTCCCCTCCCGCTTGCGCAATCCCCTCGCCTGTGTGATAACTCTCCAAAAGAGTTATTATTTATAGCTTTTTACTTAGGTTAAGCTTGTACTTTAGATTTATAATCATATTTAGATTTATTTTAGCATATTTCACATCATTTGCATATTGGGAGAAAATTGTTGGCACTTAGGCTCATTTTAATGTTTTTACTGCAAATTGCTATACTGATGTTGTGACGTTGTTAATGTTGTAGCTATTGTTGTGCACCAATGCTAGACTGGATTGCTGAGCTGATTTTGCAACAATTGTTGGGTCACCAGACAGTTAAAGAAATTTCAGGAATTAATAGTTGTTCATAACTATTGCGAGAAAAGGATTGAAATTTAAATTTAAAGAAGGAAATTTCAGGAAAAAATGGAACTTTCTTATTGGTGGAAAGTTTGACTTTGATGTGATATAAATATAATATTTTCTACACACTTTATGCATATTTGGAAACCCTAATTTTTATAGCCATCTTTTATTTTTTCTCTCTTGCCACCTCCATGGAAGCCTAAAAACCTTTGGAAAAACAACACTTGAACATGAAGCAAGTTGCAGCCGTGAGAGCAGTGATCGACGATCGATTGGGCGTCATCTTAGTGATTTAGGTTGAACTTGAGAAAAGAGGCAGGGGCGGACCTTATAGTTGCCCTGGGTATCCCAGGCAACCCCTCAAAATTGTCTACTTAGTATTAATTTTTTCTAATTTTTTTAATTAATACAAGTGTCACCCCCTAATATTGTGTGTAATTGTTGCTCTTTATTATAGGAAAAAAATTAATATCCTATTTAAAATTAAAAAAAGAGATCAAGCCAAAAAAACAAACCTTAAGCCCATGAATCAAGCATATATTTTCAGTTTTGTGGGAATTGGGATACGGCAATTGGCAACAGATTAGATCGAAGATTTGAAGAGTTTTTTTGTGCAACTCCTGAATTTTTGTCATGTGTCCGCCTCTGAAAAGAGGTTTATTTTGTTTAAGATGATTTATTTTTATTTTATGTTGAGATATTAAACTTGGATATTTTATTTTAAATATATTTGATGAATTTCATGTTTATCCAATTTGCCTTAGTATCATTGATTGGTGTTGCTTGAGTTTTATTTTTGGCTTGTTTGTAGAGATATAAACTACCCAGTAATGCGAAGAGAGTAAGTTATATCATGAATAACATCAACATCTGTGAGAGAAATATTTAGCATAAAAAATATTTTTGCTGACTGTTTTGTCGTAGCATTCTTAGTACTCTTATTTGAATTACTATAGAGATATAGTTCTTGCAAGTCATTGGTGAAGATTTTTTAGAGAAGAATAATCTGCTAAGCTAATGCTAGACACATGAATCATGTTGCTAAAGCATTGTTTATTGCATGTTGCTATTTGACATTTCATAATCTTTTGCCTAAATCGATCATTGCTTCATTTACTTGTGTTGTAATCCCTTTTTATTTTATTATGTTTTAAATTACATTGCTACATCATTGCTCTCTACATCAACCATACACAAATTTATTATTGTTGCACCACAACTCTGTGAAGTAATACTAATCCTTGTGGATATGATACTCGACGCACTAGTTGTGTCCACTTTTACTACTTGGTAGACGATGATGTATGCTTGCATTGGTTGCTGTTACAGTATTCTAAGCATCATGCAAAAATTCCCCCACCCTAGTTGCATTCAAAACCTCCCTTCATCATCTCCATAAATCCCTAGAGTTAATTTAGGGTGAGAATGATAAATTTGGAATTAGGGTTAAAGAATTGAGTATTAGGTTTAGGAATTTAAGTTTGGATTTATAGATTCAAAACTCTCCTCCATCGTACATTTCCACTAATCCACGATCCTGAATCAATGTAAAATTATTTTTTTTACATTTATTACTATAAATAAATATTCATGACATTGAGATTCTTTTATATTTTTAAGTTTTTTTTATTTTAATGGTTTTTTAAAAATATATGCATTTATTATTGCATGTGATAATCTGATTGGGTAATGTAACATTTTTTAAAGAGAAAAAAGCAATAGAATGACGTGATAATAAAATGAGAGTTCAAAAGACTAAACTAATAGAAAATTTGTACAAGCACCAAATTGATAATTTAATTATAATTGCTCATTAGACTATCATTGGTCGTTCGTTGTTATATTTTATTTATGATAGTTATAAAATGCTTGTCTTGTATGTATATGACAATACATTGTTGATGTTACTTTAGTTGACTAATGAATATATTATAATTCTATTAAAAAACTATAATACATAGATCAAAGCATATATTAAGCCATATTAAAATAAGTTGCATTTTTTTAATTACTCACCTTTTATAGAACTATGCTTCAACATTATAGTTTTTACTGCAACTAATTCTTTATAGAATATTCAAGATTATAATCTAGCCTTGAAGTACAACATAAAACTCCACAGTACACTTTATAAAAGAGTTGATAGGATTAAGTTGACTGAGTAAATTTACCACCAGATCCTATATACTTGAAAAATAAGAAACTACAATACTTATAAAGGTCTAAAATCATAAGAAAAATGAAAACTATACTTGTATCTAGCTAAGTGATCAACTAGTTCATTCGTAGAGATATTGGATCATCATTTTTTGATCTTTTTGAACAGCCCCAGTGCTTTTCTTCTTCAATTTGCCATCCTTGAGTTGAATTATCTAAAGAAAAAAAAAATCAGTTAAGTTCATGCCAAAGAGCGAAAAAAGTTTTAAACCTTCTATTTTTGAAGTTCTTCAAAATGATTTTGATTTTAGCCTTACCGTTGAAGTGTTGCCTCGGATTTATAACCTGGA